TTCTTTTTCATTATTCTTTTCTTTTCTATTTTTTGTACTTGTGTCTCTTTCTTGATTCCTTTTGTACTAGTTTTGGAGTTTGTTTGTTTCTTTTAGTAAGGTATCTTCATAACCTATGCCATTTCTGTATCTATTTTTGTTTGCATAAGTCTTATTTTTTTGTCTTTTTTTGTTGCTTTTAACTTCTTTTGCATCTGAGGTCTGACTAAATCTGTCTCAACTTCTTTCTTTTTTGACTTTACGACTTTTTCTTTTTCTCATCTCTGCTTTCTCTTCATTAATCCAATAAACTCTAAAGTTATTATACAAAATTGGTTTTGTTTGAGCTGCATTCATGTCTTTTTTTGTTGCAAACATTACTATTGCTATTCTTTTCTGGTTTCCATTTTTGTTTGGAGGAATGTGAACTGACTTAACATCTTTGCTTCTTAGACATCATAGTAGTAAAACTTCTGAGGCATTTCTGAGTAGTTCAATTAACTTCACTATATATTTCCTCTGTTTTTCTTTTGCTTTATGGTTTTCTTCTCTTCTAGTTATTTGTACTAGTTTATTATTGTTAACTGGTATAGTTTATGGAATGTCTTCTTTTTTGCCTTCTTCTATCTGCACAATTGTAAGTGCCTTATATTTTGATCTTTTGATTCTTATTATTTGGAGATTTTTGAATCTTCTGCAGATATATTCTAGCTCTCTTCTATTGATGCTTGTTGGCAAGTCCTATATTGTTTTGTATGCTTTGTCACTAGATTTCTTATCTAACTTGTAGTCATTCATGTTATTCTCTGTCTCAGTTTCTTTCTTGGCATGTGTCTTTTCTTTCTTTTTTATTATGCTATTTTTTCTTTTGCAGTATTTTTCTTTGTATAATCTTTCATGCCTTTCTGTTTTTTTGGTATTAGTTTATACCAATCATCTTTTTTCCTGCTAATTTTTTGGATTGCTTCATTTCTGCTGTGTTCACAATCAAAGTCTACCTCTATCCACAAGTTACCTCTTTTGAAGACTTTTTTAATAACTTTAATATGTTTATTGTTTTTTAGTAACCATTTGATAAATTTTGTATGTTCTTCTTTTATTGTTCCTAGCACATTATGTGTTGATATGTTGGCAAGTAAACTGTTATTTTGGTTGCAATCTCTTTTGTTTGGTGCCTACATGCTCTCCTCTAGTGGTTCTTCTACTATATCGATTTTTCTTTCAAATTCTTGTTTTGTTTCATATTATGCTTCTGCCTTTTCTGTTGCTATGCTAAGTTTTGATTCTTTTCAATTTGTATTTATACTTATTTTCTTTGTAATTTCTTCTTGTTAAGCTGCTAAGTTAGTTTGTTGTATTTTTTCTTCATGCTATCTGCCTTCTTCTATATCTACTTCTAATATTGGCTCTTGTCTAGTCTTTTGAATTAATTCTAGTTTTATTAGTTGAAGTTGCTCTTTTGATGTATCATCTGTTTGTTCTAAGGTCAGTTCTATTATTATTATATAATTACTTTGTTCTACTATGCTTAGCTTTTTTGCTGGCTGCTCTATCTCTGCTTTTTTTATTAACTCTCTTGTTAATCTCAGTAGTGCAACCTTATTTAGATTCTGTTCTGTTAGCATGACAACAATTCTGTCTTCTCTATCAGATGTAATATATGTTTTACCTATTTGATTAAAAAATACTCCATTGTATACACTATTAATGGCCCAGTATGCTCTTTGAATATATGTTGTCATTAGATTATTACCATGTCCTTCTAGTGTATTCATATTTTTGCTTTAATTTATGCATATGTCTGCTTTGTTTTGTTTGCACATGACTGGTTTGTTTGCCTATATAACTGGTTTGTTTGCCTGTTTATGTGTTTGTGTTCTCATGATCAAAACAGATCTGTGATACAGGATTAGTACCAATTCCCTAAAATTTTTGTCTATATGTATTTTTAAAAAGCAAATTTTTGTTTTCTCTTGTTTTTTTTTTGTTAGTCTACTTATTTTTGGCTGCCTCTTCTTTTCTTATATCTTTTTTGAATGTTCTTCTTTTTTATTTAGTTCTACCAGAGTGGTTCAGACAGCTGTTTTTGCATAAACTTGATTTTTGTTTCTTGCTGGATTTGTGTTTGAGTGATCAGCAGAAAGAGTTCTGTAAATATGATAGATAAAAATAAACTTTATTTTAATTTTTTAAATTTTAATAATAATTTTAACAATAATTTTAATATTTTTAATATTTTTATAAATTAAATTTAAAACAACTATTATATTTAATTTGACTTAGGTTTAATTAATTTTTAACATAATTTAAATTAATTTTTAATATTGAAAAAATAATTTCACCAATTTCATAATCAAATAATTTTAACAATTTTAACAAACCTTTTTATTAAAAAGGATAATTTCACTTTTATCTATAATTATTATGCTTTTTATTTTATTATTTACTTATTATTTACTTATTATTTATTTGTTCAAATTGTGTAAAATAAATAAACTTAATAAAAAATTAACAAAATATAAATATCAAATAAAAAAAACTAAAGAAAGTTAGTTTAATTCAAAGTTTTTTATTTATAACTAATGAAAATACTATCTTTTTATATTTTAATTCATACTTTTCAAATAATTTCAATTTATTTATATATAATTTTTACTAATACATAGAAAGTAATTAAACCAAAGTTTTAAGAAATTTGAAAAAAAGTATAAATTTGTTTATAGAAAAAATAAATTATTATTTCAAATTTATTATAAAAATTCTATTAATTAGATATGAAAGTTAATGTGACTAACTTTAACAATAATCTTTTAATATAGAATAAAATCTTTTATAACAAAAAATTTACAAAATATAGTTATAACTATATGATGCAATACAATAACAAATAAAAAAATACAAAAACAATATAAAAAAGTTAATATAAGTAAATAGAAGTATTAAGAGTGTGGTAGCCTAGTAAAATAATCAGATTATCAATCTTCTAAGTAATAAATTGAGTATTCAAATCTTATTAACAGCAAAAATTTGGATAATTATTTATATAATATTCATATTACAGTAACTGTTACTAATAATTGAATTAGAATATTTGTAATATTAATCATACCAGTATGACTGACAGGTTATGAGATATTCGTATAATAATCATGTGACATTGTTCTTTGAGACAAGATTTGTAGTTATATGAAGAAATACAAATTAGCAATTAGGTGATACAAATACTTGATAAATTCTTTAATCATATAAATCTGTTAAAATTAAGTAATAAGAAGTCTATTTAGAAAGACCTAAGTAGAAAAGTAACTGAATTTTTGATGATGCTACTATAAAGGTTAACCTAGAGAAATAAATACCAAGGTCATAGTACCCAGTTATAGTAACTAGACATTCAAGAACCTTCAAATTGAAAGTCTCAGAAATATCACCAACTAGGCTATTAGAACAAACTAGAGAAAAAGGATATTAGGCTAATCTGATATACTAATAAACTGATTATAGTCTTATATAAACTATCTGAATTAAGAATTTGGTAAAAAGATAGATAAAAAAACAGAAATATACTAAAATATTAAAGTTATTCTGTAAAGTAAAAACTAAGATCTAAGTAAATTTTATAAAAGCATAATAGTATTACAGAATTGTAGCTTTCTTGATATAATATAACTAAATAATAAGGTTATCTAGTACAATGATTGACTATTGCAAATATATATGAGGTGGAGGTATAGTAGTTCACTTTACTACATAGCAGTAAACAAATAATTCAATATAGTAACAGTATATAGATTAACTTTATTAACTAAACACAATAACAACCTTGTTTGTAGGAATTATTCTAGAAGGAAAATATCACTTTTACAAATTAATGATAAAAATAGAAAGGTCTAGTTTGAAGTATAGAAACTTAAAATTAGTAGAGAAAGATAAAAACTACCTTTTATATATCTTTTTAACTACTAGAGATAGTAGGAATTTGAGTAACATTACTTAATACTGTACTTAGGGTAATGGAGGTTTGAACAATATTAGATATTATTGTACTTATGATAGTGAAGATTCAAACAACATTAAATGATACTGTGCTTGGGGTAGTAGGAACTATATAGAAGCAACTGAGGATATTGTTTATATTATTTGTCATTCATACTTAAAACACTTGGAACTTGTGTTTAGGTACTTGGATTTGTGCAAAGCCACTTGGGATTGGTATAAGGATACTTGGGGTTCATATCAGAGATACTTGAGATTCTTGTACTGCAGCACTTAGCACAGTAATTTGATCTAGGATATATAAAACTTGTATAAGATACTTGGAGTTTGTAAAATAATAATAATATTAAAGATATTATTCAGTATCATGTGACTGTACTACATTTCTAATAACCAATTAAGATCCTTTTATCTATCTACTATATAATGTAACTATTGACTAACTAATAACTAATAATAAATATAAAATATAATAATAAATATATATATAATTACTAATACTACTATATAATATACTATGCTAAAATCTACTTTGTAACAACAGTTTAATGGTTAAATCCTAATTGCAAGTGTTGGTTCTGCTATAACAATACTTAAGTCAACTATAAAAATAGTTACAGAAGACTCTAAGAGGTTTACTTTGAGAATAAAATAGTTCTAAAGTTAAGATGATAATCTGAACATCAGATATGACCTAGTAAAGTTAACAGGTTTGCAGGTTCAAGGGGTTTAAAATGAAATACCCAAGCAGAGGTGTTAGATATGACAATTAGTGGAAAACCTTTGGATGAACTCCTTAAATAGGTAATATAGAAAAGTTACATGTGTAATCAATTGTATGCTCTTCTTGTAATAGTTTACTGAACCACATTTATTATTGTTAAATAAAGTCAAAAGACCCAAGAGGTCATCTTTAAAAAAAAATAAAAATAAAATAAATAGAAGTATTTATTAAATCCTTAGTAATATCCAGACATATTCAAATTGTCTTAATATAATAGAATGTTCAATATGATATAGAAGATCTTATGGAGCAAGCTAATGAAAAACAAGAAACTCTTAGTAGAACATATGAACTTTCTGAGAATATTGGTGAAGAATTGGAAGCAGGTATTTATTGAATAAAAGCTGTATAACATCAAAAAGTTTATTAACATTGATAATTTAAATCTATGTAGAAATAAAAGCACTGAATAATGAATTGGATTTGAAGAGGAAGAACCGTCATATTTACAAAAAACGCCAGAATTACTAAATACAGGAGTGGAGTTGGATGGAGTTAATGAACATCATTAAATTTATTATATTTTATAAAATTAAATTGATTCTTGACATTTTAGCTTTTGAGAGCCCTGGTTTGTCAGAAACATCATTTAAAAATGTAGCTTAAAGGTTATTAGATATTTTCAATTTTGATGTTTAAAAATAAATACTTTTGTAATTGAATACAAAAAAATCTAACAAATAACGTATTATAATAAACTAACATTTATGTCTAAATTTCAAAAAGTCCATTATCTAAACGATATTGTACTAGATCTGCGATAGTGATGAGTTTTAAATTATGTTCATCTGCAAATGCACGGCAATCATCACGACGTGCCATTTGCCCGTCGTCCCTTACCAATTCACAAATAACGCCAACGGGTTGCAAACCCGATAATTTACATAAATCTAACAATAAAATTAATCTAATCAAAATTCAGTAGAACAGATAAGATATTTCACATAGACATAGATCTTATAAAAACCTATTGAAGCCTCAGTATGACCAATTCTTTTTAAAACTCCGCCTTCACGATATATTAACGGAAACACATGACCAGGTCTATTAAATTCACTTGGATCTGTAATGGCAGGATTAGCAAGTGAGCGTGCTGTCAATGCACGATCATGCGCTGATATACCAGTCGTAGTATCTGCATAAATTAAACTTCATAAAAATGGTTTTAAGTATTAACCAGAAAACTTCAAATAAACCTACGTACTATATTTATAATCCACTGATATCGTGTATGCGGTTTTCATTTTTTCGGTATTGTTTGGGACCATCAAGGGTAGTTTTAACTGGTCTAATCGTTCTGGAGTAGCCGGTACACAGATTAATCCGCTAATTATGAAAGATTTTAATTTTTGAGACACCAATTTTTAAGAAATAGGGCAAAAAAATTTTCTGTTTACCTTGTATATCGTACCATAAATGCCATTTTTTCGGTAGTTATTTTTTCGGCGGCAATTATTAAATCACCCTCGTTTTCACGGTCTTCGTTGTCAACAACCAGCACAAATTTACCCTCTGCTAAAAAATGCAAGAGTTTAAAGTTAACAAATGCTTTATCTTTAATAGACATTCCAGAAATACCTACAAAAATCTTTAATCGCGTCTATAATAGAATCAAATCGAACCTTAGTTTTTGTCTGCATTTTAGACTTTATTGTAGTACCATTAGTGCAATTAGTTGAATACGGGATTGCGTGCTCTTTCACCATCTTCGTATTTGGCTTTTCGATGTTTTTTTTTTTTTTTTAACTAAGCATTTATAAATATTCTTTTTTTATAGATTCTGAGCATTTATAATCAGATTAGTAACACATCTAATCTACATACGTATTATGTTGACCAATTCGGATTAATAATATCTACAGTTAACATCTACATCGCTTATTAAGAAAATAGTTTGGTTTACAAATATCGATATGTATTTAATGTTAACCCGAACTTATTGATCACGTATTAGATTTTTTTTTTAATTTAGGTTAGAGGCTAACATTAAATGTAAAAGTTAAATTTAAAACTTTAAAAATACATATATATATAAAGATTCTATATACATATAAAGTTTGAGTACTATAGATATAATTAGAAATAACTTATGAATAATCTTAACTCTAAAGGTAACGACCCTTAACTATGTACTTTAATCGAAAGACTGACCAAACTAAAGCATTATACAATCTCCTCTACAGTTACCTCGAGCATTATCAGATATGTCAAATACCTCTTCTTTAATGAAGAAATTCAATTGATTGGTTAATTTTTGTAGATCTACCCGCGATTTCCCGGGATAATTAACCAATCAAATCGTATAATTTTTAAAGTATTTAATACAGAATTAATTACTCGAATGCTTAAACGTAGACTTAACACACTAATTATACTTATTCAAGCTACAATTGAAACCCTGCACCGAAAATCTATTATAAAGTCATTGGTTTGGATTTTAAAAAGTAGCAGTAGAGATGTTAAGTAGTTAGAATTTAACTATACTAACTTAGTTCGGGACTTAAACCGTTATCGTCAGAATAATAACCGGTTAAACTAGCTGGTTTTCACGTCTGTTAATACGTCATAAACTATAAGAACTAGTTCGATGGCTTTATATAACCGGTTAAACTTATTATAGTTGACATTTCGATTTATTATTGCTATATGGGTTCTTTCAAACCGAGGTTAAATCTCCATCTAAAAAAAAAATTTTACCATTTAATAATTAACAATGCTTTTGCGTTTGCAAAAATTTTATTAATAAGTATTATATAATAATTGATATATTGTAATGATTAAATTGTATAATCTGAAATTTTTTGGGTAATGATTTAAATCTAACTAGTTTTTTTTTTATATTAATTACTTATTACATCTTTTAGGTTATATTTACACAAGGTTTATATAATTAATTAAACTATTTGTTATTTAAATAAATATTAGATAGCAATGCATAATTGGTATGTAATTTGCAAAATAATTTGATATTGATATTTAGCTTATAAATTTTGTTATAATTGCTAAGCAATTAAGTAAATAAAAACTATATAATTAATTAGATATTTATATAATTATGAAGTTTGAAGAAGAAAAAAAAAAAAAAAACTTTTTAGGAACTCTTTCTGTAGATCACTTTTACAAATTCTTGCTAAAAACATTTGATCTTTTCTC